CCCTGATGACTGCCATCTCTATCGCGTTGCGCTCGTCGGCCTTAGTGCCGGCACTATTGCGAGTCAGGACATCGAAGACCGACTTGGCGTCGACGACCGAGACTGACGACACACCCTCACTTAGAGAGCAATCACGGGGGAGGACAAGAGAGAAAGGCGCCTGGCTGAGGTGCCAGTCGGGCTTGCTCACGTCGTTGAAAAGGAGATCTCTCCACATTATCAGCAGCCAGTGAGACTCTGCTACCGCAGAAGACACGCTCAACGTTTCTGCTGCAGCGGCAGACGAAGCAGCACGCTTGATCCTCTGGGACCTCCAAGAAAGCAGTGACACTTTTGCACGACGATTGCTTCTGATACTGCTGTCCGCGGCGAGCACAAGAAACGCGCCTTGCGCTCCACCTCGCCGATATGATCCTGGGCCTCCAGCGTCCGATATCGTCACGAATGTGACTGACACCGGATCAAGCTGCCAGATAGTCAAACGTTGACTAGCAGTCGACTTGAGATACTTACACGCTTTAATCACAAGCTGGGCGTCAGCGACCGTCGGACTCGGCAACGCCGCACTCTGCAAAGAAGCACAGCCCGACACGTCAGGCCTCGACTCCCGAGCGACCCACTGGACCTGGGCAATCATGGTTCTATAAAGCTTGACCTCACTCGGGGTCAACGGGGAGGAAGGGTCCGAAAGACGAGATTTCTCGAGCCGCATCGGCGTGAGTTGCTCCTGGATATCTTTCTCCTGATCAACGCATATTTTATTATCATGCTGCTTAACATGGCGGCCCGCGTAGTCGGCCTCGCCTTCTTGCCATTTTCCGAAATGAAACCTGCCTTGCATCTGCTCCTTGAGTGAAGAGCACATCAAGGGGTGAACTGCCACCAGGAGGTCGTCGACCTCTATGAGAATGACCGCCCTAAGCTCACCTTGGCCCGATCGAAGTGACCACAGACAGGGGTCTAAGAGTGACTTACGAAATCCGATCGAACCGAGCCAGTCAGTTAAAGTTCGGCGCCATGAGGACCGGGGCGTCGTTGAGCCCGTAAACTGGGGCGATAGGCTCCACGAGTTCCCCCGGGGCCAGATTTAAACCTTGACATGGCTCGCAGTAAATAGCTCCCTTTGGGCGATGCAACGGGTCACTCTGGCAAAAAGCGCTCTTTGCGTCCGCAATCTGAAGCTCCCAGCCTAACGAGGCGACGCACTGTAAGGTCAAAAGAACGGTCTCGCTCTGAGGAGTGGGAGCGTACACGTAAAGCTCGTCCGAATCTGGGTCTTGATGGCCTTGCACGCACCATCTTGACTTTGCCAAGGGTTCCGAACCCACTCCTTCTTGGGGTTTGAAGCGCCTCACCATCCTGGATCCGAGAATACGATCGGGACACCGCCTTCTGATGATTGAAGCCTCCGAGGCCTGTGCCACGCGCGCCGCTCCTGAGCTCAAAATGGCCCCCCACTCCTTAGCATCAGAAAAGTCAGACAGAGCCCTCTCGCGAGGGGATATTTTTTCAAGGATACCTCCGCTCCTCTACGAGACGGAGGCGCAGCATTGCTGGGCCCCCAGCCTGACTGGTCGGCCGCAAAGACCCGAGTCGGCCGGGGATCTCGGTAAAAGTCGGGCGAAAGCGAAAACCACGAGCACAGTTCCCCCCATAGCTGCTCTTCTTGCTCCCCGTCCTCTGTCTGAGCCGACCAAAAGGCGAGACTAGTAGTCGGCGAGCCGGGACAAGGCATGAAACCCCCTTCGACGTGTCCAAAATGGCCCGACGCCGATGCCCCTTCGGACGGCGCGCCTCTCTTGGGCGAACGCGAGCCCACTCTGGCGGCGGGCTGAGGAGCGGGAGGTGGCGGCGGCTGAGCTGCCCTTTGTCTTAAAATGCACATCGGAACGTCACTATCCCCCGCGCCTCTAACGATCGGCCTGGGAGGAGGGATGGCCCCAGGCCTGGCATCAAACTCGGCAACCTGCTCTTGCACCCGCCCGGGAGCCGGAGGACCCATCTGTTCGATCGGGGTGATCCTGGGACGGGTCGGCTCGGGCTCAGGGGGATTGACAAGAGGCCTGCGGGGCTGGAAAGAAGCCGGCCTGGCCTCTGCGGCGGGCTGCGAATGGGCCTGCGGAGGAGGAGGAGCGGAGGGAACGGAGGGAGACAAAAGAGGAGGAGAGGGAGAGGGGTCGCGGGAGGACGAAGGAGAGAGGAGATCGGGAGACTCCTGGCTGGCCTGACGCGTCTGCCTGCCCGAGGCCGGCGGCTCGGTGGACAGCTCGTGACCTGGAGGCAAGGGCTCTGGATCGATCACGACAACCTCGGGGGCCGGGGCCTCAGGAGGCCCGGGAAGAGAAAGAGGAGCCGGAGAACGCGGGAGCTCGGACGGATCGATCCGGGGGATGGGATGCTCCTGTCTCGGAGGAGGGTCCTCGTCGGCTTCCGAAAGCTGATCCCAGGCCTCAGGGGGTGGAGGCCCCTCTGACTGAACGTCCACCGCGCCGACCCGACGCCCTGGAGAAGCCAGCTCTTTCCTTAGCCGGTCGAAGGCGACCGAATCAAGTAACTCGCCTCCGAGAGCTCCCTCCTTGGTTGCGGGTCGAATCTGGTCCTCGGAGACCTTTAAAAGCTTGGCTCGCACCGCTATCCACAGCGTCGAATTCTGCTGAAAAACGACAACTCCTGGCCCGGTCCATCTGCTTTTCTGGAGATTCTCGGACCGAGTCTGCGCGCTGGCGCGACGCCAGACGTAAACCCAGGTGCCTGGATTGCACTGCTTGTCTGAGTGTTTCCTGGCCCGGGAAGCGTATCTGAGACGATCGGCCACGTCCAGAGACATCATGGCCTTGCAAGCAGCCTCACGAAGCGCATGCTTCCGGGCATAGGTGGCAGCAGCGGTGTCTCCATCAGACGTGCCCCTTGCAACGTCGTCGGTGCCAGTCTCGTCGTGAGCATCATCAGATAATATTGACCTCGGCAGTCTGGGGTTTTCGCCGAAAACATGCTGAAACGGCGAGAAGCCGCCTCTGTGTGAGAAGCGGTTTTTCGCAGCGACGGTCTCGCACAACAGATTTTCCATCTCCTCGAGATTGGCAGGATGGGACAACAGCGCTGCTTTCGACAAAGCATCCTTGATTAGTCCTCCGTGTCTCTCACACCTGCCGTTCTCGTGAGGGGCCTCAGAATTGCAGATATGATGCAGAACTCCTAAGTGCTCGAGACCTCTGGCAAATGATCCTGCAAATTCGGAACCCCCGTCGCTTATCAAAACCTCTGGAATTCCGTGCGGACGAACCCAGATACGACAGAAAGCGGACCAGAAGTCCTGAGAAGTGGCCCCGGGGAGAAAAGTACAAGACTGGAGGTTCGACCCGTGATCGATGATGTTCAGCACCGGCGTGGCCTGCTGGTCTACCTGCACGTAGAACAGACCAACGGCAATTATCTTGTTAAAACGATAAGTTCTGGGCAAGTGTGCCCTTCTGCGCCATCCTGGGCGCCTGTGAGACTCGCAGGCGGTGCAGCGAAACTTCGAGCGGGCCCAAAGCAACACGTCTTCTCGTGTTTTTCCGATTTTCAAAACTCGAGAAACTCGGGGAGAGACGGGTGTCCTAAATTAACGTGAAGCTTCTCAACTTCTCGCTTCAGTTCCTGTGAGAGCTGGGGGTCCGCGGGATCACAGGGTGGGCCTCCCAACTACCCGATTTCGTCGACCAGATCGTCGTCTGGGACCCCTCCGGAGTCGGGGCCCTGGTGCTCTCCTTCTGGAATCTCTGGGGGAGGAGCGGCCTGCGGGTAGGAGTGAGACTGGTTCGCCGTGTCAGCGACGACGTCAGCTGCCTCAGCCATCTGATACGAACAGGCGCCTAGAGAGACACGAGACCAGGCAGCCGCCTCGATGCCCTCGGCGAGGGCACTCACGAGCTCAGGCGGGTAGTGCTGAGCCGCCTGGGTCCTGCCCGATCCCTCCAAAGGCACGTGCACGTGATCCCCTTTGCACTTCCTGGAACACTTGTCGAGAACATGGTGAGAGTTGGAGAGAAAAGAGGTGGGCTTGCCAGAGAGACCCCGAGGAGAGACTGACAAGCCATATTCGCACTGGTCACACCTCGCCGAGCTGACTCCTGGTTTCTCGGACAGGACTCGCATGGAGTAAAGCTCCCAAGACGACGCCGTGAGAGGCTGTTCTAGCCAGAAGAGCCTGGCCTTCGATATTTGATGTTCAGCAACCTGAGCACACAATCCTAAGAACAGAAGACCCTCCCTCTCAGTCTGCGTGAGCTTATCTGGACTCATTCGATGCCAGTTGCTTACTCGGGCGACACTGAACGCAGTGCAAGGGGGGGTCATCAAAACAATATCAGGGCGATCTGACTCCAGCCTTTCCCATAGCTTGCGACGATCCTGGGCTTTGCGAAAATCGAAGCCCGTCTTCAGGTCCATGGCCTGAGACACCGGAAACCCTCTCCGGCTGAGCTCCTGGGAAACCCGAGGGGGAGAGAAAACCTCGAGGACCTGGGTACATCTCTTCTGCTTGCATCTCTCGATCAGTTGCCTGCGGATCTTCCTGCGAGTGACTCGAATGCTGGTGCCTTCGAACGTCTTGAGCAAAGCCCCCCTAACCTTTCGAGGAACCTGAGCTATGGGAGGGCTGAGAGGACGATCGAAATGGACTGGGGAAAAGATTAAGGCCCAAGACGACGGAATCCGAGGGGGAGACCGACTAGGATCCTCTAAGGCCCCTGTGAACTTCTCTTGCTCGACTGCTGTCCCGAAAGCTAGTGGTAGCTCGCTAAGGCCATCTGAGGCCGCCTCCAAAACTTCAACTCGTAGTTGTCGACGCTGAGCTCCCGGGAGAGCCGAGGTTAAGGCCCGAACGGACAGTCCACTCCATAGACGATCGAGGATGACTTGATGATGAGACGGTTTGTCATCGTCGACGCTGATCCCGATCTGCACCCTGGCGACGTCGGCCGGTAGTCCCAGCCGGGTGCTAGAAGAGCTGGCACCTGCGATCGCGAGGTGCCCCAGAAACGATGCCAGCTCGCCCGACTCGAGCTGGCGCTTCGTCCAGCCCGCCGTTTCTGAAAGATGATCAAGATCGATCGAGCTACCATCTGAAGTGTCCCAGACTCCAAAATGTCGTTCTCGATCGTAAGGAACAGGAGCCCCCTTGAATCTGTTCACGATCGTGGAAACAGATCGCATTGAAATATTAGGATCTCTGGCCGTGCCAAAACGATCCTGAACGTCCGATAAGATCCGATCTCTAGCCTCGTGTCGGAGCGAGGCTAGCGTAAACATCGTAGGACTCCACGCCTCACTTCGCTGAGTACCTTACGCATCGCCTCCTCCATGGCCCTCACGTTCTCGGTGCGCACCTCCTCGATGATCGCCTCGCGGATCTCCTGCACTCCCTGGCGCTCCTGAGCAAGCACGTTCCTGATGCTGTCCATCATGCTGCTGACGTCCGCGCGCGTGATCCTCGCCGAGGGAGGCGGCTCGAGCATCCTGACCCACGCCCCGCTCGACGGAGTCTTCGGTGGTGACTTGCACCCGACCAAGTGAGGATCTGCCGGAGGTGACTTCACCGCCGTCGCGCGGGCCGTCGAGTAGGAAGTGCACGGAGGGGCCTCGTCGATCACCTCCAGGTCCCCTGCCTGAGCCTTGGGGGCCTTGACCTTGGGGACTGCCCCGAAAGTCCTCGAGATCGGCACCGGGCGGATGCGGTAGGCTGGCTCGCGCGGCTGCGGCTCCGGCTCCATCTTGATATCCAGCTTGGCTCTCTGGGCAAGTATCTCGGCCTGCATCTTGATGGCCTCGTGGTATTTGCGCTCCTTGTCCCGACGGCCACGAGCCTGAGCTGCCTCGAAGATCTCCTGAGGGGTCTCGCGGCGGATCCAGAGACGGGTCTTGCACACCTCGCAATGGCAGTAGTGAGCGACTCCATTCTGGCCGGAGCGGTGGCGATGTACTGGATGCTCGCACGTGTCCGGAGTCACGTTGGGGCCCTCGCCCTCGAACTGGTTCGGGCCCACCACCGGCGACAGCGCGGTCATGATCCGCGAGCTGGCGCACACGTTGAGGAACACGATCGTCTTGAGAGAGACGCGGCGCCAGGCCATGGCAGCCTTCTCGATGATGTAGCGGCCCTCGAAGAACATCTCCTTGTCCACTGGATCGAGCATCTCGTCGTACACCAGATGCTGGAGCTCCGCGTCGCGCCACGGGTCTGGCATCTCCTCCCAGTTCTCGGCCATCTCGAGATCCGAGCTGCCCTCCTCCTCGACCTGAGAGAGGCCGCTCACCACCTTGCTCGCCCGGCGCCGCAGAGCCGACAGTGAGCGAGGTCCTCGACGTAGCGGATGCACCGTCGAGTTCGCCTTCCTGGTCGCCCGAGCCGGCATCGATTGCCTGACTCTGAGAATTATCTGACTGACTGATTAGACTTGAGGGCTGGCTCTCTGAGTCGCCGGCCCGGCTCGAGCCTAGAGTAGCTAAAGGTAGTGACAGCGATGTCCCATCCAGGGCCCTCGAATCGTGGACCCGCTGTCGAGACGTAGAGAGAGACGGAGGGAGCGAGGAGATCTGACCAGCGAAAACTGCGCCCTGCCCCCCCCTACGGCCCTGAATGATGAAGGGCGGGAAGCGCTTGGCGAGGTCGTCACTGACCTTGAAATCCTCGGGCAGACATCCCACCAGAGATACTGCACGATGCCCTGATGGCAGGCGACGCAGCTCCAGTTCTCGACGACCATCGCCGGCCCCGACCGACATCGCGCCCATGCTCATGTCTACCTTGGCCTTGAGAAACTCTAAAAACTTAGCGGGCAAGAGGGGTGGACACGCGCGTGGTAAGATTAGAAATTCCACCACCCCACATCCGCGCATCGTGACAGGCAGGCACCGAAGCTCGCCCCACCGGCTTGACTTTGCCTCCAACTCCGCACGCCGGAGGAAGATCAGCCACGTCGTAGGACGCGTGAACTTCGTAGCCGATGCGGTTCAGGGCCTTCCTGTGCTCCTCGAGATTCGTCTCTCCTACCAAGGCTGATCCCGCAGCAGTGTCCACGAGAGCGCAGTCCATCAGGTTGTCCAAGGTCAGCTCCCGCGAGACCCCGGCCAAGACGAGCTCGAGCTGCTCGGCGTCGTCGGGTAGCCACGCGCCGCCGATCAGATCCTCGGCGCACGTCTGGAACTCGCCCTCGGGCACTGCGAGGCAGGTGGGGCCGTCGAAGCCGCGCACGTTGAAGTAGAAACTGTTGGTCTTGTCCGGCTTCGACTGCGGCTTGCTCCCCTCCTCAAGCCTGTCCTCCTTTGACCTGTAAGGGTTGCGGCAGTCCTCTTTCCAGCGGCCCTTCTGCCCGCAGTTCGTGCATCTGGATCTTTTCTTTAATTCACTTTTGCCAATTTTCTTGCCGCGACGTCTGTCGAAGAAGTCTCGAACTATGCGACGAGCATTCTTCATGTCCTTCGACTCTTTCCAGGTGCGCTTGCGCTTGGTCTCCACGAATTGGGCAAAGACATGATAGGCCCCATCCTCCGTGAGGTCCTGCTGATCCAACGATATCAGGAAGCCATCCGCCTCGGACTCACTGAACTCGGTCTCGAAGAGATCCACGACGGCGTCGTCCTCCGCCTCGAACGTCGTCTCTTCTTCTTGTTCCTGCATATACGTCCTTCCTGGAGGCCTGGACGAGGTGGCCGCTGTCGGAAGCACAGCCTGACCATTCGAGACGTCCAGATTGAGAAGAGCAGCTCGTATAGATAAGAAACCCTTCTTTCCACAAGCCAGCGTTGCGAGATTGATCCGATTTTGATGAGAAAGCATAGCCCCTTCTTCGTAGTAGCGAGTCTTGATGGAGTCTGCGAGAGTGAGACCCGCACTTTCTGCCTGCAGCATTTGTCCGTCGCGTCTTATCACGTAATCCGTCAGGCTCTCGCCCTTCTTAATGACATAGTCGAATAGTGCTTCGTTTTGCATCTGCCGGTCCTTGTCGCCGGGCCTCTCTCCCGACAGCAAAGTCAAATGCTCCGCTAACCTGTCGAGCCCCGACCCCATGGCTAGAGATAATCTGACGGTCTTAAACTTTGCCTGGAGCTCGAGAGGGAATGTCTCAAGCACTCGATCAGCTTGCAGACTGGTCCCCAATGCCGTCCTGCGCGTCCATGCCCGCAGATTATGAATGTATATGTCTAAATGCTGCATGCCGGGCCAGGTCGGCGGGGCTGAGTAGTCCCTGGACTTCTCCTCTTCCCAAGAACTTGCATTCCATGACCTGGACCACCACGAGCTGCTATCACCTCGGCCATCTCGATATCGGCCGTCTTCATCACGTCCTGGCTCGTCTTTGGGCCTACTGAGGTCGGATGCGTTGTCCTTCCACTCGACCTTCTCCCAGTCCTCGGATTTCCAGGAGGCCACGTCCTCTTCGGTCATGGAGCTCTGCCACCAACCAGGCGACCACTCCCGCACAATTTTGGCTGTCCAGCCCCATGCCCCGGAACTCCACCAGTCCTGAACATCGGGCTTGTCGTCGGGCTTGTCGGCGTGCTGGCCCGTATCTTGATGGTTGCCTCCTGACCCTGCCGCCCCGGAGCTCGCTGGAGCTTCCGCGGGTGGGTCTGGAGGCTTGTCGCCCTCTGGGCTGGTCTCCACGAACGTTCCATGACCTGATTGCCAAGGGTCAAAGCCGTGAAACCACGGATCTGACGTACCTGACTCTGATCTTCCCCAGGTGGTTCTGGAGCCGGGTGCCCTGTGCGTGCCAGCCGCCCTGCAGGGTGCCCTGGAGCGGGAGAGATCTGACACCATACCTTCACGAAGATCTTCACTAACCACGCTCCGCTTACCACTGTCAGCATCGCGAGACATCGTGCGACCGATACGATGATATGTTTCAGACTCCCTCACTCGAGAGCACCTGTAGTGAACATGCTGGCTAAAGCCGGAACGGCTACGTACAGAGACGGACTATACAATGTCTGTCACATAGCTGGCAACAAGCGCACACGAGTTGGGGGGAGTGGGCAAGGAGAGACAAGGTCTGGTGCACCACCATGGTGCACCGCTCGAGGACAGGGCATCTGCGGAGGAAAAAGACGGGATTGCTGGAGCGCTCCTCAGAAACCTCACTGGCTTCGTCCAAGCACCGCGTCCTGCCCCGAGCGCGGGGAGGAGAGTGGAGGACCAGAGCAAAACCAGGGAGCGACAGCTGCGTTGCAGTACGTCCTCCCGTCCCGAGCCCACTCCTCGCGGGCCCGCGCAGGCATGCCCCTTCAGAACCAGGAGCACCCCCTTGGCACGCGAGCGCCCCATGCCCGCTGCCATTCGGGCGGGAGCCGCGCTTTGGAAAGGAACCGCGATTCATCCCTGCTGCGAGGAAAACAAAGACGCAAAACATTAAGATAGTCATAGAATCCACCCACCCATACGTCCAGCGAGAGCCGCATGCTGAACGGAGCCGACACCCATCGATGCGATTGTCGCAAGCTCCATGCTTCTAGTCACCACGTCTGAGAGAGTCTGCAGCGAGACCCCATTGTGAAGAAGGTGCCGCGTAACCTTCCTTGTAGCCGCTGCGCAATGTCACGTTTCTGGTCGCACGCTCAAGCACGTCACAATCAGGAGGATCCACGTGAAAAGAAGGCACCATCCATTTCATAGCTGTTAGAAACCCTTAGGACGCAAAGGCGCGGCGCTCACGAGAGAGACGTCGGAAGCAACCCGCCATCCTGCATTGTAGCAGTTTTTGTAAAAGGACATATGGTCACGGCGCTCACATCAGACACATGTTTCACCTTGGATTATGGCAAACCTTCTCTGGTCAGATTGGCAAACAACATCCGTGCTGGGACAGATGCGAGACTGCAGGAAGTATTTACAGAATATGGCACCATGAATTTTGATATTTTGCTCTTCTCGGAAACGATAGCTCCAAGCCGCTCGCGTGCAATCACTGGCGGGCATTCGCTTTACACAAGCGGCAAAAGCCACGATGGCACGGGCGTTGGTGTGCTCGTCCACGCCGAACACGTTGGCAAACACGTATCTGTTGACATCAACGACCGGGTCATGCACGTCGATTTGGAACTGCACGGAAAAGCGTGCAGAACAATCGCAGCGTACCTTCCGCATACCGGCTACCCCGCCACGCTCGCGGACGCAATCTACAAGCAGTTGTTCACCTGCTGTCGGACAACGAATTGGCATCGTCGGAGGTCAAGACATTCAGCGATACGCAATATCAGTGGACGTTTGGACCTCACGGCATAGTGTTAACAAATTCGCGGATATCGAAAACGCCACTCGTTCTTCAGTAGGGGAACACTTGCAAACGCAGACAGCTACACCCAAAGCCCCGGAATTCAGATGTTGTCCGACAGGCGAAGAAAGACCAGGATCAGGCGAGGGACCCTTTCAAGAGGAAAACCTTGCATTGGCGCCGGAAGCGGGCACTTCGGAAACAGATTCGGGTTTGGAAGACCCGGCGAGCCGCGAACATGTTATGGGTTTGGAAGATTATCCTGTTTCGACATTGTATGTCACCCTCCGGTTGAGCGGGAAACTCCTGCCACACGTCGGCGAAGCGACGGGGAGCTCGCGCGAGCTCTCGCCGAAGTGCACTCGAAGGAGACGCCCGCTGAGAGACCACCGCCAGGAAAGGCTATCCGAGACGCTTCCCCGTTCAGCACGGCAGAACGCAGGGCGGCGCTGAGAAAGCTGGCGCGCAACAAGGCTGCGGACTCCGAGGGGGTCGCGTTGGATCACACTTTTCACTGACCTCTGCGAGCAGAGAAGCTCATTCTTGAGCAGCGCAAGACATGTCTGAACGAAAGGGCTTCCCCGAAGGAGTGGCTGCATACTATTTTTATAACGCTGCCCAAGCCGGGAGACGCGTCGAAAGCTTCAAATTGGCGCCCCATCGCAGCGCAGGGGATATTATGCAAGAGGATTTCGCCGACGCTGGAAGCAGCGCGGGGGAAACATCAATGTGCGTACCGGCCTGGCTTCGGCGCCGACGAAGCCCTGCACTGCGTGGAGTACATGGGGGGATTTGCCCACGCGTTCAAGCAGAACCTTTGGATCGTGAGCCTGGTCCTCAGCAAGGCATTTGACAAAGTCATCCACGAATCTGCTATCGAAGCCATATTGCAGCAAGGCGTACATGAAGCGCACGCGTCCTTCTTGCAAGAGATGTAGTGGGGACAGACGGACCAAGTTGGCGCGAGCGACGTCTTCCGACTGTTCTGGGGCGTCCGCCAGAGCGACGTTTTGAGCCCTCGCTTACTCAACGCAATAATAGAAATTGTGTTCAGCAGGTGGAAAGGCCGCCTCACAACGCAGGGGTGGAAATTCCCAGGACAGGCAGACGCCTCACAAACATTCGATTGGCAGACGATGTTCTACTTTATGCCCGCTCGCTGGAGGACACCAAAAAATCATGCTGTCGCTCTGAAATGAGGAGTTCCAGGCCGTAGGGCTACAATTGAATGCCGCGAGAACCCAGATCTTATCCTCCTGAGACGTTGGTGCGCCACCTGGCATTTGCAAAATCCGCCGACCCGTTGGGGTCATCGGCGTGTGAGATGCTCCCCCTTCCACAACCCCTCCCTCCGGCCCAGGTCCGGTCGGTTTGGGAGGGGGGGGGGGTGCGGCAGGCCCCGGCTGAACGCGCCACAGGCCTCACGACGGGCCACGAGGGAACCAAGAGGCCCACAAGATGGTCCAAGATGGCCCCGAATCGCCGATGGACAATCCAAGACGCCCAAGGTGGCCCCCAGACGGCCCAAGAGGCCCCCGAGACACCCCAAGAGGCCCCCAAGAGGCGCCACAAAAGCGCCCCCAGAAGAAAATGTCGCCCCATTCCCTTGGGGAAACGAATGATTTTAGCACATTCGCCTCTTGGGCTTTCACAGCGTCCAAGACGGCCCAAGAGGCCTCGAAGATCGCCCAAAGACGGCCCAGGAAACCCCCAAGAAGGCTCCAAGATGGCCCAAAGCCCCCCAAAGGGTCGGCGGCGCAGCGTAAGCCCAAACATCGAATGGACTGTTGACCGCTGTTTTCACGCGCTGTCATTGGACGAATATCACGCGTATGTGGGGAGAACCCTCAATTTGTCAAAGAACAGGGCAACGATTGCCATGAAGAGGAGGATTTCAGCAGCATGGCGTAAATGCCAAATGAAATGCCACATTCTTATGGGTCAACAGATCGGCGCCGACCACCGCATCAAGCTCTTCAACTCCACGGTCTTGCCAGTTCTGCTGTATGGGATGACCGGCCTGGCGCTGAAGCCGCAGCACCACGCCATGCTCCAGGGAGCACGGACAAAGATGCTCCGAAATATGGTTGGCTGGTGGAGAGCGGAAGGCGAGAGCTGGCAGGACACGATGTGGAGGATGCAGACGCGCGTGTCGAACATGCTGTCCACTACAGGCTCACCAGGCGTGTCGGAACAGATTTTCTCTTTGAAGTGGCGGCGGGCTCGCCGTCTCTTCTGCGGAAGGATTGAGAAATGGGCGACCGTTCTTCGACATCTGCAGTCTGCTCACAAGCGAGCACGAGGCAGACCACCGCTGCAATGGATAGATGACCTCAAACAGTTCTGCGCGCACGTCCGTCAGCGCAGATTCTCTCGTAAAGTCGCTGCAAACGCCGGGCAGGGAGGGGCAGCAT